AGCTTTTTCACTTCAACTTTGGATATCATCAAGCAACATTTGATAAGCACAACAAGTTGGGCTGAAGCAATAGTATCAAGCTTCAAGCTTCAAGATCATAGCAGCAAAGGATGGCTGGCAATGTTTGAAGTAACGTAATACAATCAGTAGAGATTTGTAGACGTATATTGATAAATACTATTTTTGGCTGACTTTTCAAACGCCGATTAGAGAGAACTAAATTCCGGAAGCAAAAATAATTACAGTTAAACTGGGAGGAAGTTAGCGGATGTCCCGATGAGATAGTGGACACGTAATGTGACCCAAGTCGATAGCAGATATTGGGTTGATAGTGAAAGAAGTATATGACTGAAAACCAGAAGTTCAACAGTGGTATAAACAACTGTCACGAGTCTGTCTGCCTGTTAGTGTTTGCTTAGGGTAAATTCCCGAGAATGTATATCAAAGATGCAAATGTATGATTTATTGGCCACTTGTTCTCTATCTCTCTGTTGGCAACGCTCACCGAAGCAGGTTACAGGTGTGTGGGGTAAAGTTTGTAAGCGCAACAAAAGTCAAACACAATTGAGCTGCAAGTAATGTCGTTTTGGTGCTTATTTTGGTTTGGTGGAAAGTAAACTGCTAAAGTTCAATGTTGAAAAAGCTGTTATCAACGGCTGCGGCTAGTGTTTGTCTGCTGACAGACAAAGCCTTTCTGAGTGGCACCTTGAGACTAGCATCAGCAGGTATCCGCTGTACGACCATCGAAATGAATCGTCGTACGTCGGTGAGGTGTAATTGAAGCAGAAGTGGCCTGCAAATGCTAACCTTGTGCAAACAACTGTGAATCTCAGTGAACGTAGTGTACGGGGCAGAGAATTGAGTGCTGGTGATGAGTCGACAGAATGGCCAATCAACTTCTTTTCTGCCGCACAATTCGATACGCAACAAAATTAGCCCTTTTCTCTCCCCTTTCCTCGCACAGTTTCAAAGACAAATTACCAAGCTGTTACTAATGATTACGCAGTCATTTGTTAGATAATAAAACATCTAATTAATGAGAAGTAAGCACCTTTTATGGGGGTGATTCGACAACGTGATGCAGCCTATAGCAGTTGACTGATTTACGAATGAAAAGATTTTACAAATTTAGATTTTTGCCAGAAAATAATAACTCATTAAAAAGATTTTATTTTTTAGTTTATTAATTTACATTTTGTTGGTAGTGAATGTCATTTCAAAACAATTTAAAACTGACTGTTTTTATCAAAAAGATATAATTTTATAAAACAAATGCGTTTTTAAATATCAGTTTAAAAACCACCTTTTTAACAATTCTGACACACACACAAGAATTTCCCAGAATCGTTCGATCATACTAAGCCTTTCCCTCAATAAATATCAACCAAGTACATTCAAATGTACTAACCTACTTTCAGTGGACAGGCGAAAATGTGTCTTAAAACTAAATATCTGGCTATTATATCGCCTACCGGCGCCAGTGTGACAGTACACACCCTCGTCGCCTCCAACGTGACACAATGCAATCAAATGCCTGCTGAGTAATGCACAGTTCAGGACCGTATTATATATACTCGGTACTCTCAGATGACTTCATTTTCCGTCGCATTAAAGACACTGCCATACGAAGAGTGGAGGGAAGGAGACGGCAGGAGAGAGAAGGGGCACAAACTTGAGCCCCAAAAGGTTCAAGTTCAAGGTGGAAGTACGCAATAAAGTGAGCGATTGATAAGAAGAAAAGCAAAGGGAAGGGAGGGGAAGTGCGATATGCGGTGTAGTGCTCATGCCAGCTCAAATGTCAGCTGAGCTGCTTCTCAGCGGCAGTTAAGGAAAGGCAGGAGAAGGCGAGTGAAAGGAGCAAACATTTCCAAGCACGAGTCCTTGGCTAATTGAGTGAATTAAAGCGACCATAGCATGTGTGTGTGCATCAGCACATGTACATGTACAACCGGATACGAATACAGTAGCTGATGTTGGGAGCAACCAGCGGTGCGACTGACAGCTGCTCACAGACACTAACAGACACTGTCTGCATCGACTACCACCACCACCACCACTACTGCCACTTGGGCTTGACGCACTTGGTCTTTATACTACTGGCTGCTCACTCAATGCTACCACACGAACAAGTGGAAAAGTTTTTAGATTTTTGAATTCTTTAAACCGCTCAGCAGTGTCAACGACAGAGCAGCAAACCAGAGAGTGGGTGCATTAGTATGCCACTCTTTCAGTGAAAGTATCAGTCCTGAGGAATGACCCTTTGTAAAGTAAATCAGACAGTCTATTGTCTAGGCGTTTCTTATCAAATCATATAAGCAGTGTACGTGCGCAGCACAAAAGCTTAATGACTTTGCACTAAAACGCCTGTTTTCTGGCCAAGTAAAGGTTTATTGGCTTAAAAGAAACAATTCTGGCATATTCTTTATACGCGTTTCTTTATATCGTTGAATTTAAAAAATTATAAAAGCACAAACAGTTTTTATACAATTAAAATTTAATGAGGCTCAAAAATGATCATTTTTGAAATTGCACTGTTCCAATAAAAAAACTATTTTTCAAAGAAATTTTGTGTCAATATTTGTAAAACTGATCAAATATTAATTTTATAATAAAAATTCAATTTGAAAACCTTTTTCAAATTATAATTCTTTTGAAAAAGAATGTTACAAACAAAAAATATTTTTTAGATTGGCAAAATGCTAAAAAACTGATGCGTCAGTTTAGTACGAAAATCAAAGAATACCGTTCTTTATATATTTTTATTTTCTCTTCCTGACTCTTTTATACCACGATCCAAGAATAGAATTCGTAGACGCTTTACAATTTTCACAGTTACCGATTTAATAATAGGCTTTTCCTAAGTGATGACGTATTTGAGCTTCTATAGTGCCAGTTCTGATCAAACAAAGTTACAAAAAAGAAAAAAATTTATTAAGAAATCAGTTAGTGTAAGGATAAAACAGTAATTAAAATTAGTTAACAGGTTTTAATCGTTATCATAAGTGCTTATTTTTTGTAAATGGATTTGCTTAAAACATGAGTGCAAAAATAAAAGTAGCGTTCACAAGCGTAATTAGATTAAAAAACGCAAAAATTCATTTTTTTAGTTTTGATGTCAAACAAGTCAAGATCATGGCCGTAAAAGTGATCTTACGGCAGTGCAAATTGGTTTATCTAAAATCAACAAGTATCATCTGTTTTTACTCAACACAACAGTTTGCACTGAGCACAAAAGATGTTAGCATTTAGCAAATTAACTTTTGGCAAGTTTGCAAATCATATGATATTGTTTGGAAGAAAGCCGGTGTCTCGAGTCAAGAGCTTGCTCTTGTCGCTTCAGTGACTTCGTAAATAAGAAAAATGACGGTAAATGTGTGTGCATTCTGAAAGTGCATTTTCTTTTTTACCGAGATCGCACCAGGAAAGAAAATATTTGCTGACTCAGGAAACACAACAACACCGTGCACTACAAAGAATGAAAAACACAGCATCAGACATTTTAAAGTTTAATAACAATTAGCTGGCAAGTTTAAGATGGGTACATGCCGATAAGGCTCCATTCATTTATGCGATACAGCAAACCTATGTGGCATGTCAGTTACTGTGCAGTGAAATCAGTTTGTCAGATGACATCAATTAGATTTTCTGAAAGAGCTGCACTATTTGATGGCCGCACACAGGCCGATTGCCGATTAGAGCATTTCCGATTGGTAGCCTTTACGTCACTTTGCTTTGAGCACATATCAAGTGACACTGACGGGTGAACCTAAATCAATGTGATTTGATTGTTGAGTTGCACTGATTACTAATTACTGAGAGTATGTCTTGCGACAATGGCCAATGATATCATTACCCTTCTCCACCTGAATCGATTGCACTTGCTGTCAATTGTCAACTGATTCAAGAAAGGGCCTCTTTATGGGTTCTCTCTTTGCAGTCAGTGCTCTGACCGCTTCAAACCGCCTTTCTCGTCGTTGGAGCCGTCTCGGCTAACCAGGCACTCCGATGACGGAACACGATCCCCAGGTGCACTTTCATGTACAAGTCAGTGAGTGAGTGAGGGGTTATCTGCAACACCAGAGTGTATCTGCCTGAGTGTATCGCACAAAGACACAGGCTGCACACTTTACAACCTGTCTGTCGCACTTAGTTTAAATATAGCCACGTTCATCAAGTGTTTATAGCTATAATTAGCTCGATGATCTCTACCTGACACTACTAAACAAGGCTTCATCATATGAGGCTCTAAAAGATACAAAGAATATTAAAAAAATGGGTGAGCATGCACACACACTGGGCGATGGCACAGGGATGTGAAAACGAGTGAAGCAATTTAATACGCAATTGTGGCTGTGATGCCTGATTCCTGCTGCTAAGTGCCATCCCGGAATGAATATGCCTACAGGAATGGTTTTCCCTGCAAGCAAACAAATATCAGTGCCCACTCACTCAATGGGTCAAGTGGAATATATGAAAAGAACCAATGGAAGGTGACAGTATAAGCATGCCCACTATTACTGCTAATTGCCTCTATTTATCTAATGGACTGCACTCTTATATCACCCCGGTATTGCGCACATTCTTCGGCAAGAGAGCGCACACAGACACAACGCGCGCACAAGGTCACCCGGGAACTAATTGAATTATGCATAACATTATTACACGGCAGTGTAGTGTGTGTGTGCTGTACAAATGAGTGTGGCAAATGACGCACTGTCTGCTGACTGCACTGTCAGTGAGTTGGCCCTTTATGTAAGACAAATAAACAAATTGTAATAATGGAAGTATAACTGTGCATACCGAGGGAAGGCAAGGGAATGATTGCTAGGCAGTTAACGGTGTCCATCGGTTACAGGTTTTTGTGTTTTAACTAGACAGTAGATAGACAAGGCAAATATCATATTGACTTGCAAGTTACGGCCAGCAATCGTTAAGGTGCTCGCGAGGTACAATAAAATTTCACCATAAAGTTCAATTTATTGCATAAATAGGCTCAAATATTATAAACTAGCAGAGTCCTTGGTTAGGTCATTGTGAAGAACGCAGACCGGACTATCGTAGACCATCTGCAGGTCGACCTTGTGTCCCACCAGGTCTCGAATGTTATCAATACCATATTTAATCATCGTTGGTCGCTCCAGGCCGAGGCCCCATCCGAGGACATTGACGTCCTCTGGCAGGCCCATCGGACGGATCATCTCAGGGCGAAAGACGCCAGAGTTGCCAATTTCCACCCATTTCTTCAGACCGGGATGCCAGCTGTACATTTCCATCGAGGGCTCAGTGTAGGGGTTATAGGTTGGCTTGAAGCGCAAATCGGCAATGCCCAGCTTGACGAAGAACTCCTTGATCATTCCCATCAGATGACCGAGAGAGAGGTTTCGACCGGCAGCGACGCCCTCAATTTGGCAAAACTCCGCCAAGTGGGTGGCATCGAGGGTTTCATTGCGAAAGACTTTGTCGATGGAAAAGAATTTGACCGGTTTGAACTCCACTTTGCCGCCGTCTCCGCCCGCTGACACTAGCTGCTTCTGGTACTCCTGACCAACTTTGTAGAGCATTCGCGCACTGACAGCGGTGGTGTGGGTGCGCAGTACGTTCTTCTTCGCCTCCGACGTTTTCCACTCCATTTGGTATCCCTGTGAGCCGGTTTGTCCGCCATTTTCGTGTGTCTCCTTTATTCGAGCCATATACTCGGCGGGAATGTCCCCACACTCTGCGGGCTCACTGAGGAAGAAGGTGTCCTGCAGGTCGCGAGCAGGGTGTTTCTGAGGAACAAACAGCGTATCAAAGCACCAGAAAGAGCTCTCCACGTAGTTGTTGGTGGGCATCTCCACGAAGCCAAGTTCAAAGAAAATCTGCCGAAACTGTTCGCGAACTTTGAGCAGGGGGTGAAGGTGGCCACACTCAGGTGGAATGCCCTTTGCATCAAAATTGTAGTCTTTGAACTGTTTTGTCTTCCAAGTGCCTTTTGCGATCATTTCCGGCGTGATGTCTGTTTCAGGCTTTTCAATGTTTGTTGTGAAAGTGGCGGACTTGCGTACATTGTAACTTTTTTCAGTTATTTCAGATATCAGCTTTCTTTTCTTCAAATCAGTCTTTTGTTGTTCACTCAACTGAAGAGGAATACAAAACATTAGTTGTTGTTGTTGTGATTAGAAAAAATATAAGGATTACTTTGTCAACGGCATTATTCTTGACTAGTTGAAGAAGCTGCTGGACCTCATCGACGACATCTGCTGCCTTTCGGCTGACGATCGGCTTTCCAGAGCTCTTGTCAATGGCAATCCACTTGTTGGTCATTGCTTTGGAGAAGCCCAGCTTGGCGACGTTGGCATTGTTGATCTTCTTGGTCAACTCCGCCTGCTCGATGCCTCCTTCCGCAGGCAGGGCACTCCATACCAGAAACTCGTGGCTTCCATTGGCCACTATTTGCTCGGCTTCAGCCGTCAGAGCGAGACGTTTCGATTCGAGCTGGTCAGCTTCAATGAGGTTCATCGACTGCAAGGACTTGACAGCGCCGACCACCTTCTGGTGGTCCACCGAGGCCTCACTGGCGAAGGCGATCGAGTTGAGCGGCGCCTCGGTGAGACTCAGCTTCTGCACTAGCTGCTGACATAGTTCGTCTGCTGACGCCATGGTGCTAATGGTACGGTGTGTAATGCTGTTCCAGGTAACGCCAAGTAACCGGCAAAAAGTTCAGGCGATGTGGGGAGATCAAAGTCCACCGAGAGCACAAACAGTGAGGAGCAGCAGCTGGACACGTTTAGCTACAGGCAATCACAATGCAATCAGTAGGTGATCACGTGACACTAACGCATAGAAGACGTAACAGAAGCCTAGCTTCAAGTTCTATCTGATTGCATAATCCCTGAAGAGAACAAACACAAAATGAGAAGACAGTGGGAATTCAGTCCCCATTCGGGGTATTTCGGCACTGATAGCGGCCCTGGGGCCAATGTTTTAGGGCCGCTGTAACCAATTAAAACTGACGACGGTCTGTGACTGACCAGTCCAGTGCCCTCATTCTTCAACAATGGCCATAGCTAACGCCAGAAGAGTGTCTGCAATTTGTTGGGCAGAATATTCAGCTAGCTAAAATAAAGAATAGAACCTCACTTGATAAAAGATGAAAAATCTTTGATGAAATTCTGAAAAAAATCAAAAGTTGTCCGTTTATCCTGTACTTTATGACGGGAGCACAATGACGTTCTGTGATGTTTTTTCAAAACACCGTTTGCTTGCATCATCGGCTGCAGTCTTTGGCGGGTGATCATCTTGACGTTTCCAAGTGGATCCCATCGCTCAAACAACACTCCCCGGAAATGGCAGCTGAATTCGTCAAAGGCTGGTTACTTTTGGACACTGTCGGCGAAGGCCGATTTGGCGAGTAAGTTTTCAAATGTTTTATTTGCAAAGATCTTTTACTAACAAAATGTGTTTGTATGCAGAGTGAAGCTTCTAATGAATAAGGAAACCAAAGAGATGGTCGCGTGTAAAGTTTTAATGTTTGATCCGGAAAATGAAAATGAGCAGAAGCAGATTCGTAAAGAGATAACGATTCACAAGAATGTCAATCATCCGAACATTATTCAGTTTTACGGCAATCGTCGAGACAAAAACACTGAATTCATGTTTCTTGAGTACGCTTCAGGTGGCGAACTGTTTGACCGAATCGAGCCAGACATTGGAATGAATCCGAATGAGGCTTATCGCTTTTTCACTCAGCTCCTCGACGGTATACAGTACCTCCATCAAAAGGGCATCGTGCATCGAGATATCAAGCCGGAAAATCTACTTATCGACTCTAAAGGTATGCTTACTTACATCTTGAAAACAATTCTAATTTTCTAACCACTTTATTATAGATAATCTCAAAATATCTGATTTCGGTTTTGCTACCCTGTTTCGTCATCGTGGCCAAGAGCGCGCCCTCGACCAGAAGTGTGGTTCATTTCCCTATATGGCGCCTGAAGTGTTTTCTCGCCTTCACCACAAGGCCGAGCCGATTGATGTTTGGAGTTGTGGAATTGTTCTGGTCACAATGCTCTCTGGCAGACTTCCTTGGGACAAAGCTGTTCCTGAGCTTAACATGGACTACAAAAAGTGGGCTTTAGGCAAAGTTATGGTTTCATCTGATCCTTGGAAACGAATTGACAATGTGGCTCTTTGTAAGTTTTAAAGTTTCAAATCGAACTCACTTAATTATATCTTTTTTAAACCCTGCAGCTCTTCTTAAATGCATTCTTGAGCCAACCGTTTCTAAGCGCTACACAATTAAAGATATTCGAGAGCATCGGTATTTCAACAAAAATGCCGTCGTTCGCGAGTATACGCCCGATTTTCGCGTTATCAAACGCCAGTGCAACGGGTTCCATTCACAGCCTACCCTCAAACTACGCAACAAAAGCTCTTCCCAAGTTTACCGCCTGAATAGCTCTGTGGATGATGCTAACGAAGCTTTAGATGATTTTCTCAGTACTCCGCTTCATGGCTTCAACACGTACTCACAGCCAATCAACATTGATGACATGTTTGTCAGTACTCAAACTCAAATGGAAATAATGAACTCCGAGTTGGAAAATGTTGAAAACAGCAGCAACAATACTCAGCCTGGAACTCGACTGTACATGAGACTTGTGCGTCGCTTGACTCGATTCATCACCAAGCTCAACTTTGCCGAGACAATGCATTCGCTGTCTGATACGTTTAAAAGCTTCAAGAGTTACAATTTCAAGAAGAGCTTTCAAGGACAGTTTGCAATCACTACTAATGATAAGAATCGTCACCCTCTCTCGTTCAAGGTGACTGTTACCGAAAATGATAAAGGAAAAACTCTGGTCGACTTTCGACTGTCAAAGGTAATCATCATGCAATTACTTAATTATTCCTTCTAAAGTCTAATTTTTTGCAGGGTGATGGAATTGAGTTCAAGCGTCAATTTCTGGCCATAAAGAATCTCCTCACTCCAATCATTGAGCAGCCATAGCTTTTGTCTTCAATTCACGATTTTACATATTTTTAAATACTTTTATCATCCCATCTACTCTCTGTGACAAACAAATGTTGCTTTTGATGAACTTTTCCTTTTGCGGCCTTTCCATTTATTAAGTTTTTATAGATTTAAGATCTCATACCGCCCCTACCTACAACTTGTGATCTGTGTTCCGATCTCAAATGGCTTTGTTTTTTTGAACTGCTATTTGCTTCCTCCGTGATTGTCTCACCGAACTGTCCCCAAACTGTAATACCTTCCATGTTCACTGCCACTTTCTTTCTAACAATTAATAGACAACAGAATAAATAATTTTGAAACATTTAAAATTCAATTTAATATCTTAAAATGCCTGTACACTTTGAAGTTGCAATTACAAGCTTTGCAAAGCCTCCTCTTCGTTGTCATTTGACTCCATTTTAAGCTGGTTTAGCTTCTTTTGATACTTTTTAATTTCAGCTTTCAACTCGGTAATTGTGCTGACACTGTTGTCAACCTTTTTCACGAGAAGTTTACTCTCTTCGATCATCTTTACATCAGCAACTGTTGAGATCAAGTTGTCAGGAGGTCGGTAGGCGTTGATTTGCTTCACAGTGTGCTCAATTAGGTTTCGCCCTTCAGGGTCACTGATATTGGATTTGATCGACTCAAGGATATCTAGCAAAATAAATAAAAAAGATTAGTAACAAAAAAGACAAACATCACAAATGTTAACGAACTTTTGAATTTCTCAAAATCCGAGTCAGATAAAATGAGTGAAACAGAGGCAAGACAAGTAACCGGATCTATGATGTGCTTAATGAAGTCTTTTGTCTTCTCTCCCAATTTAACGTATTCTCGAAGAATGTACATCTTTGCTAGTTGAAACTTTACTTTCTCTAGCTCAGTTTGGCAAATTGTCAACTCTTCCTCGTCAGCTCGAGCACTTTCAAACTTCACCTTGAGAATCTCTTCTTTCTTTTTGATTTTTTCTTCCCGCTTGAAGGCATTGTAATACTGCATGAGAGCCAGATTCTTATTCATTTGATTGATCTCTTCAGCAGCGATGCCCCCTTTATTGGACCCATCCTTATTTGAACTTGCCGATGATCCTGTTGAATAGGCAGACTTTTTTGACTGAACAGAGCCACTGTTGAGAGTTGATGCTGAAGGGTATCTTCTAAAATTCATTGTAAAAGTGCTGACGATTTCGGGTTTCGGGCACAAAAGTTGTCTTTAAAGATGATGTAAAACAGTCGGTTTCAAGCAATTGATCAAAGTCGGTGTCTTCTGGGCGCTACTGTAAACAAAAAACTGTTTGAATTTACAAAACAGCTTACAGTGGTGCCGCCACGGGCAAAGCGCGCACTAAAAAACTGACGGAAAGTTATCACGTGACTTAATGAAGTTCTATGAAAAGCGAGCCTTCTTCTTTCCCAGTCGTTTAATCAGTGTGTCCAATGTCTTTTGGTTATGGACAGAGGCTCATTTTACTACGGACCACGCAAACTTGATTACTTTCACATGATTAAAAAGTTGCACTTTTTGAGCTTTTCGAAATGTTTTCCGTCAAGGCGCCGTCTGTTGAGCAGTTAAAAATGTGTCTTTAGTATTATTTACTGCTCCGTACACACGCTGCACGCTAAACTTGAGTAAAGTACTTACATCTTTCATTTTTGTTCCTTCTGTCACCAGCTCCACGATGGATGATTATCAAATGAAGGTCGAGGCGAATCTGGAGGGCCACACTGAACGGGTTTGGTGCGTCCGGTGGCATCCCAGTGGCAAGTACATTGCCAGCTGCTCTGCTGATCGAACCATTCGCATCTGGGGAAAAGAAGGTTTGTTTTGTCAATCGGCATTTTGACTTCCTCTTTCTACTAATAGTCTTCACCATCATCATCTTCTAGGAGATACATGGCGTTGTCGGTCCATTCTTAGCGATGCTCACAGTCGGACAATTCGCTACATCGCCTGGTCACACGATGGCCGCTTTCTTGCCTCGACCAGCTTTGACGCAACCACTGTCATCTGGCACTGTAAAGGCCGCAATGTGGAAGACGAAGAAGACCCAGAGTGGTCGGTCATGTTCTCCCTGGAAGGGCACGAAAATGAGGTGAAGGCTGCCGCCTGGTCGCCCGATGACTCCTACCTGGCCACCTGCTCCCGAGACAAGGCCGTGTGGATTTGGGAGAAGATCGAGGCCGCATCCTCCGCAGCCGGCGGCGATGTGCACGACGAACCAGTGGACGATGATGAGGCCTTCTTTGAGTGTGCTTCAGTGCAGACCGAACACTCGCAGGACGTAAAACGCGTCCTGTGGCACCCAAAGCTGAACATTCTCGTCTCTGCCAGCTTTGACAATCACATTTTGATGTACGTCCAGGGAGACGAGGACTGGGTGCAGTTTAGCGCTCTCTCCGAACACGAGTCCACCGTGTGGGCTTTGGACTTCAACCCGAGCGGCACTCGCCTGGTCTCTGCATCCGCCGATGAGAGCATCAAAGTGTGGCAGCCCTCCAACTTCACCGATGTGTCTTCTCTTCTCTCAGCAAGTCCACTGCCCAAAGGCTCTGACCGAAAGTTCGCCGAGCTCGCCTCTAAATGGACGATCGTTGCGTCGCTCTCCGGCTACCATCAGTGGCCTATCTACGATGTTTCCTGGTCGCCACTCAACAATTGCATTCTAACGTGCGGCGCCGATAACTCTCTTCACGTTTTTGCAGAACTGCGAAATAACATTGCTGCAGAAAAAGGGGAGGAGGAGGAAGCTTCAGAGAACGGCCGAGTTAGGTACCGGCAAATATGCGTTCAAGAAGAAGCTCACGATCAAGACGTCAATTCAGTGCACTGGAACCCCAAAGAGGAGAGTCAGCTAGCCTCGGGCTCAGATGATGCGGTAATTCGCATTTGGACTCTTCACAAAGTGTAAATTCTGTTGTCTCAATTTACTGTTGTTGAAATTCTTTATATATTTTTTATATTTACCTGTTCGGTTTTATTACAGAAATAAAACAATTGTAGCAATAACAAAATTGTACTTCAACTGGCTAAAAGTCGGTATTTATTTACATGTAATATAATTTTTCACTAGAATACTATTTGAATGATTTGTGTTTGAATAAATTGCCTTGATGCCCGAAATGCCTTAGTACACGTGTACCATGCCGTAGAGGAATGTCCAGAAGAGCACGTATGTCGTGAGACCGCCGATGAAGCCGTTTGTTAGGATGTTCCACTTTGAGGTAAAGTAGCGTTTCCAGTAGGTGCCCCCTTTGGCCAGAATCATCAGCCAGAGGATGACCACCATGACCAGGTAGAAGGCAAAACCTTGGAGCGAAGTGAGGCCAATAATGCCGGCGGTAGAGCCGGCCAGAGCTGACATTGACGTACGACAGTACTCAATCAAGTGGTGATTGTGGGCAATGGCCGCTGGGGAGTAGGCAATGCCCATTTCAGGACCGTCGCCAGCTTTTGAGGAAGTAGAGTTGGCTACCCGAGTCATTCTTGTCGGCTAGTTAAAGTAAGGGCTCAGATCCTTAAAATTGCAATTCGGGGTCTAACTAAGGGCAGCCTTTCAATCTGTTTGAAGCAATACCAAACGTTAGAATGTGCCGGGAATCTGACAAGATACCCGAAATACCTGATTTAGAGTTGACTGAATCAGCGAAAAGTGAAAATAAAAACAGAAATCATCTGAGCAATCCCATTCATAGATGACGAGTTCACAATTTGGGAGTATTAGTTACGTTTTTCGCAGCGAGGGGACGCCACCGAACGACAGAATTTCGATTGTCAAAGATTTTTGGTGTTTCTGCAGTTTGATGACCTTTGGTTTTAATTTGTCCTTCTCTGCAGGCTTGAGGCAGTTTGTTGAACTAAGCGATCGATTTAAACTAAAAAGTAAAATGAGCAACATTTCACGCCTAATAAAATTAAATTGCTTTTAGTACGACACGCAGCACTGAACTATTGATTCGCCCATTTGCCAGAGGCTAAATTACTTGTCGGTAAGACACCTTTATCTCGGTATTTGTTCTTTTGATCAATGAACTTTGTGTGTTCTGTGTTGGATAGCAAATTCATTCAGGGCAAAAACAACTTCAATCTAACTCTTCGGTGTCTGAAAAAGCCTTCTCATTTCTCTTTCTTTCCTTCCTTTTGCAACGGCTATGTCCGTTCCGTTTTGAAGTGCACGCGCCGTTCATTACCGAGCAAAAATAGGCCAAGACGACTAGCTGTCTGACTTTTCCAGACAGTAGTGATTACTTCCCGTCTGCGTCGTCGGAGATGCTGTCGCTAAGCAGGAGCAGTGGTGGCCGTTTATGGATCACACTTGCACTGATGCAAGGCACAAGTGCACACCACCACAGTCGGCACACACACACTCACTCACTCTTTTATCCCCTTTTGTTTGCCCGATGTCTGGTCTCTCTCTCTCTCTCTCCTTCTCAGTACTTGACTTTCCTTGAGCACCTTTCTTCCTTCCTTTTCTGACGCTACGACAAACACAGACAGACTACAACGGGCGCAATCGAATCGAACCTCCCTCCTTCACTTTAAGTTGGCAATCTCCACCAGTTTGCATTGCCCTCGCTTGCGCAACCACTGCTCAATCACCGTTGTCAATTGCGTAGGATTAGGTGCCAAAGTGAAGAGGAGGAATTGCACCAGGCAGCAGTGCCAACTTTCCAACACATCTACAGAATCGAGACTCAAGTGCAGATGGAGTGCAGAGTGTGTAGTTGATTCTTGCTGCTGTTTCTTCTTCTTGGCAAATTAATTCCCCGTCCCGCATTCGCAGCAGTGGAGAATCAGCAAAAGCTGAGATAGAGCTTTGAGAAGAGAAGTTTCCAGCAAGACTGCTTCCCAGTAACCAGTTCTTTCCAGATTGAAGGAAAGACAACTGTGCAGTGAGACAGTGTGCAGAGAGTCCTTCTTCCATTGCTTGTCCATCTCCCCACAACGACCTTCTTCTCGGTTGTCTTCCCTCGGTGCGATGTACCCGACAGTGA